TTTCTTGTTGCGTTAATTTTTTTGACCAGTGTATTAACATGATAAATTTTTTTATTTTGTATTATCTTGTTTAAGTTTTTAAATATATATTTTTTTATAGCAATTGTTCAATCATTATAACTGTAACCATAATTTTTTGTTACCTTGTGTCTTTCCTTGACAGGCTTGAATAATAACAATTTTTATAACTTCTCTCAATTCTATACAACAAATAGTTTTTTCAATTGTTTCTAGAGAAATCTCTTTCTCATCTGATGCAATTACACCACCTATAATATAAATTTATAATTTAAATTAAGTCATAAAGTTAAGATTAAATATAAATTTAATGTAGTAGAGTAAATATATTGCAATAATGCATGATAATCACCTATTACTATTATTTTACTAAGACTGTGGTCCACTTGACACTATAAATGCTTCAAAGCTTTATTCTTCTTCTTTCTTTACTGAAAGGAAAGAGAAAAAGAATGCTTCAAGTTATTTACAGCATCAAGTGAACCACATCCTAAGATGTATTTTCTACAGGGTGTATCGAAAGGTAAGGCCAATCAAAGAGGAGGTAAAAGAGGAGCATGAGCAGAACACAAAATACAAATAAAATGGTTTCGTATTTGCTATGGTTTAGGAAATACAACGCTTTATAGGGGTACATAAAAAGTGTGAAACCTCTTAATATTTTGAAAAGTACGTATTTTCGCAAAAACTACTTTATACAAAATTTGTAAAGTTTTAAGTGAAGCGTTAGAAGCACAGAAAAATTAGTATGACTTTGAATAAAGTTCTCTAGGTCACGTAAACATAACTCACAAATTTTTAATGGGTATCCTTAGTTTTTATTGCATATTATTGTAGCTTATTCCGAGGACTTTTCCAAATTGTGTTTGTGTAGCGCTTCACTCAAAATCCTACAATGTTTGTATAAAACATTTTTCTCGTAAATGCGTACTTTTCGAAATATTAAGAGGTTTCACATTTTTATGCACCCCTATAAAGTGTTGTATTTCCTCAACCATAGCAAATACAAAAAAATTTATTTATATTTGGTGTTCTACTCATGCTCTTCTTTCACCTCCTCTTTGGTTGACCTTATTTTTTGATACACCCTGTACATTGTAAAGTAGAAAGAATACAATAAAAAAATTTTTAATCAAAATATAAATATTCCTCACCTTTATATCCATGACTCAAAATACAAAGAAACAAACAATCATAATTTTGACCATGGTCTTTTGAAATGTTTCTTAGCTTCTCTAACATTTTGTTTCTCTTCAGATTTTGAAGTATCACAACTTTAAACCCAAAAGCTTTAAATGTTTCACATAAAGTAATACAATCGGCTTCTGTTCCGTATCGTGTTTCATACTAAAAAGTTAAAAATATAAAATATATTTTCATCTCTAATTAAAATTTATAACAATACCTCTTTCCTAAAATGTATTTGATTTATAATAATACATAATCCACTATTAATAGTTTTTTTGCAGAGATGTCTTTCAGTAAGAGTCGATTCTTCTGGTGAAGTTGACTGTAAGTAATTTTTATCATTTGTTCTAAAATTTCCACAATTATCGACAACATGTAGATTAGTTTCAAATTTTTCCAATTCAATACAAATTATTTTTAACCGGCCATCTTTAAATTCTTTCAAATGTTTCAATAATTTTTTTATATTATGCAGTTTATCTGAAACAGAACAATATAAAAATTTATCTACTCTTTTATTGCTAACATTGATTTATATAAGTTCAATATATGTTCAATAAAATGCTTATGGTATTCTATTGTTTTCAACATGTTATTTAATTATTAAACCTTTGTAAACAGCATTTTAAACTATTTCATACATAAAAAAAATTAGAAATTTGCACATTGCTTCCTCATAGAGGAACGTTTAGGAGCGAAATCTAATTTTGCACGATACTTATATTTTGTTTATATAAATACACTGTTTTTTACACTTTATTTTGCATAGATTATAAATTGAAGTAAGCACATACCTTTTGAAATTGTTATATATCCAATTTGTATCCAATAAAGCATATGTAATTCAAGGTAGTCTACATTATCTAATAATGATTCATAATTACAGTTTTCAGATTTAACATAGTTTAGTAATAAGTTTTCTTCCTTCTCATCCAAAGATTCACATAATTTATATAAACATTTTGCAACTATATTTATGTTTCTCGAATGGATGACCTTTGGAAAATACTGTAACTCTAAATCACTGAACGACACTTTTAGTTTTCTTAATATTTCTCGATTGTTCAAAATACATAATGCCTCTAAAATTTTCTCTTCCCAATTTTCTGGGTGGTTTTTTACATAATCTGCAATTATATAAGCATCTTTTGTCTTGTGTATTTGAAAAAGTTTGAAAACAGTGTTAAATCCTGTTCCATAATTATCTATTATTAAAAATAATATAGAAATTTTTTCATCTATATCCAGATCATCTTCTATTTGTCTTAAAATATTTATGTTTATAACATGTTCTGCTACAACTTCCCGATATGTGATTGCATCCACTAACAATGACATCATAAATTATATACGTCATTAACAATGTTCCTTATTAATAATTGACCTGAAATACACGTTAACAGTAATTAATATTCACTCTGCACCTTATTTATAATTTCTTTAATCGTGATAACCTCAATTATGTATTAGTCAGCGAGATATTAAAAGATTACAAACAAGACAAAATTTTGTCAAAAAGATTTTCTTATTACTGATAATATATTGTAATACACACAATATCTTAATATATTACACAAAACTTTCAAATTTAACATACCAAGTAAATATATACAAAAATATTTATCGAGCATACGTCAAAAGTAAAATCACATGATATAAAAACCATAGACTTCTACATACTTAGAAATCTGTGGTAAAAATCATAGGTCTAGTTTACACCGATTATTCAATACGTGTATCCACAGATGCCTATACTAGAGTCCCTAGAAGATAGGGACTCTAGCCTATACCAGAGAAAAAGCCTTAGGCTGGATTCACATGGAGCGTAAAGGTGCCTTTTCACGCGTCGCTCGTCGCTGGATTTCTCGGTACATGATTGGCCGTCATTACTTTTGTCGCTGGTAACTCTGTTGATCTATGAAAAGAGTTCAAGCGATATTTTGTAACCTCAAAGTTGTGAAATATTTATATCTTGAAAGGTGTTTAGTGAAAGGTGAATTTCAAAATTTAGTTTAATCTGTTATTGATAATTATTGTATTCGATTTTTGGTAAATTTTGAATTTTGTGAAAGTATTTAGGTTTTGAGAAGTAAAAATTAAGAAGTTATTAATAACATACGGTGACTCTTTTTCACATAAGAAATTTGTATATCCAGCCATACAAGAATGAGAAGCAATTTTATTAAAATTGCCATCGCTTTTGCATAAGCCGCACGATACAACTTTTGGCACTACTGTAATCTAAAAAGCATTAAAAATTACATTTTCATTCAAAACAATTTAATCAATAAAATTACTATTTTTTGTATTTTCTGCATTTTAGTTGATAATTGACAAGTAACAAAAAGTGAGGTTAAACACAGAAGAGATTATCCAAACGATTGTATTTTACATTATTTCTCCAAATTAATTAAACTTTGCTATTTATTAAATTTATTTATTACCTACCTGATTAGTTGCCATTGCGAGAAACTCTTTAAAATTTTATGTATATATCCTCTTGTCGCTAGCGACGACGATAGTACCACGTGACACGTCCATCGCTAGTGACTAGCGACGTATGAAATTGCACCTTAAGGCTGTGGTCACAGTATAACCAGTATGGGCACTCCATGGACGTAAGAATATATGGACGGAGCGTAATGTAGGATTTAGGACGAGGGGACCCAAGCGAGCGCGGTGAGGGGAAATTGGGTGGCGGCCATATGTGATGACTGTGATTGTAAGGACGCCTCGTGGCCAGTGATGCCAGCTTGGACTACCAGCTACATCGCTGTCGCGATGGTGGGGATAGAGTGGGGATAGCACGTCTGCGCGCGCACGCACGCACACAGGCAACACGCCGCATATACGCGTCGAGCGCACACGTATATGCGGCGTGTTGCCTGTGTGCGTGCGTGCGCGGGCAGACGTGCTATCCCCACCATCGCGACAGCGATGTAGCTGGTAGTCCAAGCTGGCATCACTGCTCGTGGCAGTGCTGTCCGTGAGCGGCCTTTGGTCGCACGGTCGCATAGGGAGGGGATGACGCACACAAGCGAGCGACCGTGTCCGTGTGCGCACAGACACGGTCGCTCGGACAGCACTGCCTCGTGGTAGCGTCGCCGCCATATGTGATGACTACTTTTCCCCTCACTGCTCTGGCTCGGCCCCCGCTAACTTACACTCCGTCCATATATTCTTACGTCCATGGGGCACTCTCTGTCGGCACCTTTGATCTGGAGCTGCGTTCGGAAACATCATCCGGGTGTCCCCGCGTATCATTTTATCCTTATTTAATATTCGGCGCGTAACAAGGATAAAATGTTCCACTGAGGTACCCGGGTGATGTTTCCGAACGCAGCCTGGGCGTTCTGAATTTTCCGCCATGTTTTTATTCTCGCCAACAGTGTATCAACGGCTAAAAGTGCCTGGGCCCTTTTCAGGATCGTATCGAGGGGCTCGATTCTCGAAATCATTCCAAGAAGAAACGTATACGAATATTCTGCTCTGACAGAAAAGTTGAAAGTCGATTGGTTAAAGCCATGCGAATAGCCAATCAACTTGCAACTTTTCTGTAAGAGCAGAATTTTCGCATACATTTCTCCTTCGAACAAATTCAAGAATCGAGCCCCAGGAAAGGCACATACGAACTGGCGTACATTATTTATTGTAAATGGAAATGGCCTATAAAAAAAATGTTCTAATAAAAGTAATTAATGTAATTA